TCTGATCCCACCCATTATCAGCTGTCATCTGAAATATTAATAACCTCTTAACTGAACTCCCTGATTCTATTCTTCCCATACTTATATCGTTAACATAGTATCCATAATGATTTTTTAAAAACATAAGCCAGATCATGTAATTATTTTGTTCAAAATATTCCAATCATTCCCTATTTTTCCTCTGAATAAAATTCAAAGCCTTTTAATGTCCTACAAGACTCTAGATGTCCTGGCCTCCTCTTTGATCACATCCTCTCTTAGTGCTTTCTCCCTTCCTTACTCTGCCTAGCCACACCAGCCTCTTTTATGCTTAGAACAAATCAGACACTTTTGTAATTAGGATCTTGCCCCTGACTGTTCTCTATACCTGATCATGACTATCTCGGATATCTTTGTTAACACTTTTATTTCCTTAAAATTTCTGCTCAAATGTTAGAGTTTCAAAGAGGCCTATGCTGATCACCCTATTTTTAAATTTCACTGGCAATACCTATCCTCATTGTAGGTGTGACTTATCCCCCTTATTCTGCAGTGCTTTCATGTCTTTCCGTGGTGCTTCTCACTTTACAACATACTTTATACTTTACTCCTTTATCTGTTTGTTTTATCTTCCACCATCACTGTCTCCTCTATAATATAAGCTCTACAAGGGCAGGATCTTTGCTTTATTCATGGATGCATTCCAAACTCCTGAAACACAGTCTGTAAATATTTGAAAATGATTGAGCAATTATGTCACACATAATTATTTGGGTCTTTTCTAATGTGCTGTTTACTTCAAAATATAGAGCTAAATCTAATTTAGACATGATCAACACAGACCTTGATGTATTTCTCTGATGACTCATATAAAACTTTCACTGAAATTTTTAGAGTAAGAAACTCATTCAAATTCTGTTTAATTTTTATTTTTCTAATTGATTTGGAAATGCCTATATGTCTACTCATTTCTCTGTCAGATTTAAGCTACCAATAAAGACAATACTCTAAAAAATGAGAAAATCTCCATAGTATCTTCCTGCCTACATTTTACTGTAGAGAACTGGATAGAAGTATATGAGGAGGCAGGTAAAATAGGACTTTCAAAAATATAATAACATTCTATTCGAGGGATATTGCCCTTAGGAAGTTGCTATTATACTCTATATCAGCTCTGTCTTTTGGACAATTTATTTTTTTAAATATTTTACTGTTTATGCTTTTACAGTTGTCCCACTTCCCCCCCCTTTGCTTCCCTCCACCCAGCCTTCCCCACCCCACTTCTGTAATCAGTCCCCTAACCATTGTCCATGTTCATGATCTTTCACATATGTGCTTTCTGGACACTTTAAAAAGAGATGTTAATATTTCAATCTAATGACAAAGAAATTAGTTTGAAATAGTGAAATAAGTTTTGCTATCAAGAAAAAAATTCCATTAAAGGCTAAGACTCATTCTCCTGATGAGTTAGTACTGCTCAAACCCACATTCCCTTCTCCATTTTCATACCAGCATAGATTAAAGTCCTCAGCTTTAGAAACTACTAAGGGTAGAATCAAGATGACAGAGGAGTGGGTAGAAGTCACACTGACTCCACCCAGGAGGAAGTCCATGCCTCCTCCCAGGACCAACCTGGAATTACAACTAAATTGTGGGGAAATCACCTGGAACAAACAACTGAACAATAGGGAGAGAGGAGCCTTGTAACCTCGGACAGACAGAAGAATCAGCTTTAGTACAACGTAATCTGTAAGGAGTACCATAGAGACTTGAGAAGGCGGGTGGGACACCCATGGGTGGCAGCACCAGAAGAATATTGAAAGGTCCAATTGGATGCCCCTGAGATGAGCAAGGTCTAAACCATAAGCAGGGATTTCCAGCCTACAGCACCAGAGTCCAAAAAGTACACAGATAACAGCCAGCAGCGAAAAGCAGTAGGGTTACTCTTTGCAAAAGATGGGCTACAGGAGACACAAAGAGCTGTTTAAAGGGCCAATGCATAAATTTTTGTTTGCAGCCACTTACTCTGGGCTCCGGCAAAGGTGGGGGCAGAGTGGGCTGGAGACGTATGAGGAGAGACTGGGGAAGGAGGCTTTGGGGAGAGAACTGAGAGAGTAGAGAGCAGGCAGGATCCCTGTGCTGACTCATCCCCCATGTGGTAGCAACCATATTGCTGAGGAAGATCACTCTCCTGAGTGTTAACAGTGTGAGAGGAACCCAAAGTCCCAACCCCAGGAGGCTCACCTAGGCCCGGTAGTGCTAAAACCTGATGGCTGAGTACAGAGTGGCAGCCACAGATGGTAGATCCCTGGCTAAAAAGGGCACACAATGGTCTAGAGATAGTTCAGGAGAGACTGGAGATGAAGGCTTTGGGGAGAGAACAGAGAGAATAGCTGTCAGGAGCCTCGTGCTGACTCCTCCCCATTATGGCAGCAGCCATCTAGCTCAGGCAGACCACTCCCCTAAGCAGCACAGTGTGAAAGGACCAATAACCCCACCCCAAGGGGGACTCTGCCCTGCCCTGTGGTATTTCTAAGCTTGACTGCTGAGTGCAGAGTGACTGGATTAAGAGCTGAAGGAGACCACCACAGACAGTAGATTCCTGGAAGACTTGAACAGACTGCCTAAAGTCAGACAGAGCCAACATCTGACATCATCATAGATGGATCCAGAAAGAAAAACAAACAAACAAACACTGGTCTCTTACCATAGAAGTTCACACCACAAAGTCAGGAAATCAAGACAGGTCAATTTAAAAAGTAGAAGTAAAAGAGAAGAGCCTCACAAATAATGGGAAGACAAAGAAACACCTCCCAGTTGAAGGTAAAGGAGGAATACCCAGAAAGAGAACTAAATGAAATAGTGGCAAGTAAACGTCCCTCAGATATTGAGTTCCAAACAACGGTTCTAAGGAAGCTCAATGAGCTCAGAGAGAATTACAAAAAACTACAGGGAAACTATGAGGAACTTACTGAAAACTATATCAGCAAGAAAAAGGACATAGAAACTATCAATAAGACACAAGAAGAAATAAATAATACAATATCTGAATTGAAGGACACAGTAGAAGGAATCCAAAGCAGGCTAGATGAAGTTGAGGACCGAATCAGCGAGCCATTGAGGACAAGGTAGAAAAAAGTAACCAGAAAGAGCAAGAAAATGAAAAAAGACTCAAGAAGAATGAAGAGGCATTGAGAGAAATGCAGGACAACCTGAAATGTAATAATATCCATATAACAGGGATACCAGAAGGAGATGAGAATGAGGAAGCAATAGAGAACCTTTTTGAAAAAGTAATGATGGAAAATTTCTCTAATTGGGGGAGAGAAAAAGTCACACAAGTCTAGGAAGCACAGAAGGTCCCATTCAAAAGGAACACAATGAGGCCCACTCCAAGACACATCATCATGAAAATGGCAAATATCAAAGATAAACAGAATCCTAAAGGAAACAAGGGAGAAAGAAGTAGTAACATAGAAGGGAGCCCAGATAAGGCTAGCAGCTGACTTCTCAACAGAAGCACTAAAAGCCAGACAGGAATGGCAAGAAATATTCCAAGTAATGAAAAGTAAAGGCCTGTAATCAACGCTGCTCTACCCAGCAAGGTTCTCAATTAACATGGAAGGTGAAATAAGGAGTTTTCCAGACATAAGAAGGCTAAAAGAATATACCTCTACCAAACCAATATTGCAAAATATGTTAAAGGAACTGCTTTAAGAAGATGAAGAAAAAGAGTCTATGAATATCTAGTTCCTTTCACAGTTACTAATACTTGGTATTACCAATGTTTAATACTTACTAATCTGATTGTGACAGTGATGTGTTATTTTAATTGTTCCTGTATTATTTGTTGAAACTAAGCCTGTTTTAGTATATTTCTTGCCTATTTCTATTCTTTTTTAAGAAAACAGCTTTAAGTGACTTTTTGGTATTCTTTATCTATTTTTTGATTAAGTATTTGTAGAATTTTTGCCTAAAAAGACAAAAACAAACAAAAAAACCAAAACAACTATTAATCCTGTTATAGATGTGTTGCAGGTAGTTTCCTATTCTGTTACTTGTCCTTTAGATTTTTTTACATGAATATTACTGTATAGTCTTAAATGTTTAATATAGTCATATTGTCAATATTTTGCTTCTAGGTTTGAATATGAATATGATACTTCAGGGTAAGAAAAATATTATTTTGTATTTTCTCCAAAAAGTCTTTAGATTTTACATATTGATTTTTAACTCACCTGAATATTTTTTATATAATGTGTGACATAGGGCTCTATATTTGGTTTATTTCAAGTAATAGTGATCCATGCACCTTATATGTTGAATAAGCCTTATTTTCCCCATTGATTTGAAATATCAATTTAATTACATAATTACATTGTTAGAAAGATATATGTTTGTTTCTAGAATGCTCATTATATTTTATTGATCTACTTATTTCTGTGCAGCTGTCATGATTGCTGAGACTTTATAATGGATTTAAATTTTTTAATATTTTATAATGGAAACTGGCATTAAAAAATAAATAAAATCAATCTGCATTTAAAAATAAAAAGAGAAAAAGAAGGAATTCCTACCTTTTGAAACAACATGGATGGAACTGGAGAATATTATGCTAAGTGAAATAAGCCATCAGTGAAAGAGAAACATCATATGATCTCACCTATTCAACAAAATAACACTAAGGAATAAAATAAACCACAGGCAAGGAAACATCGAGTAGACTGAAAGTGACCAGAGCGGCTGGGGAAGGAGGACAATGGCATAAAGTAGAAGGAACTAAACAAAGGACATGTATGAATGACCCATGGACATGGACAAAGGAGTTGGAATTAACTGTGGGAGATAGGGGTGGGGTGGGATGGGTGGAGGGAAAAGCAGGGGAAATGAGACAGCTGTAATAGAATAAATATGATTTAAAAATAAAAAAAGAAAAAATAAACTACTAGGGGTACAAAACAGGAAACATTCAATTTGTTTTGGAAAAAGCTCAAGCAAACAGAAAGTGAGAAAATACGTACAGCTTCCAAACTTCAGTGGGCAGGCATGTACATCCATGGGAAAATCTTCCAAATGCATAGGACACTCAGCATGAATTGTTAACCTAAAAGTAAGAAGACCAGAAAATGAAGCTGAGCCCCCATTTATCAGCAATGTAGTGCCCCTAAGAATAATGGGATTTTTTGTTTGTTTGTTTAGGTTCACCAAGATCCAAGTCTTTATGAACTCAAAAAGATGGAGTAAATGAACTAGATAGCCTCTCAAAGCAGCATTCAGTATTTAGATTTTTTATCAGATCTGAATCCCACCTTACCACCTTTAGAAAAACATACATAACTTATCTCCGCTAGCTGAGCTCCCATAGCTACTATCCTTGTCCAATGAAGCCTAGAAACAGAAGGTCTGGACTCGTTTACTGATGGTAGCAATTTAAAAATTTAAAAAATAATTTTCATTAGTAGGTTACAAGGTACATTAACTAAATTAAAGATTGCATTGGAGAGGAGATATGTGTAGAAAGATTATCTTTATCTTGATAATGAACAAGTACAAAAGATGGCTAAGATGCTCACAGCAACTATTATAGCTTCCTGAACACACACATACACATACACACACGGAGCAGCTGGCCATAAAAATACAAAGCTAATGGAAGGCATCAAAACCTCAGGGGTCAAATCTGAAGAGATCATGATTTCTTAACAGGGACAGCATAGGGGAGAGATTGTGCATGGATTCCTTAATAGAAATATGGACGGGATATGATTTGCCATGCCCCAAACTCATTCCCCTGCCATTAGTCTGTCCAAATAATCTATTCTAGGTGACCCATATAGCAAAAATCAGAGTTCTTTGGAACCTAGCTTTGATGAGCTATGTCTAGCTAACCTGTATAGATCCTGCTTGTATTGGATTCACTCACTACCATGCTCTTGGAGTTGTAAGTTGCCAACTGATAAGTATCTCCAATCCCAGCAAATTGTTAAATCAGATGAATATGTGACACCTCACAAATGATAGGAGCAGCAACACTAGATATTGCTCAAAGCATGCTGACTAAAGCAAACATACTCAGGTATGTATTAGCAATAACCCTACCTAGGCTTGTAGGCAGAAAACAACTGTGTGTTCTTCATAAAATATTTACTCTCCTTTTATTTTCAGTTTCCCTATCTAAGCAGTAAAGGTTGGAACTAGACAGCAAGAATCCTTGCATCTCTAACTAAACCCTTAGATATTTACAAAATTTCTTATGTGTCCTGGAAAAAACCCTCAATTCTCAAATTAGCCTATAAAATCTCACCAATCCACCCTTTATTCCTTTTTAAAAATATTTTATTTATTTACTTTTAGAGAGAGGGGAAAGGAAGGAGAAAGAGAGGAAAAGAAATATCAATATGTGGTTGCCTCCAACACAATCCCTACTGGGGACCTGGCCCACAACTCAGGTATGTGCCCTGGCTGGGAATCAAACCAGTGACCTTTTTGTTCACAGGCTGGCACTCAACCCACTGAGCCACACCATCCAGGGCACACCCTTTATATTTAAGGCATAAAGGGGGTTTTATGACTCAAAGAGTTTGACACAAGATAAATGTATTTCACTGAGAAATCTGGTCTTTGTGCTGGATACTTAAAAAATTCCACGAATTTAATAAAATAAATTGTTTCTTATCTCCATTTATATTAGTATTTTTAAGGCACTGCCTCTTAGGAGTAATTCCAAGGGGAAATTATTTTATATCTACTCTGCAGGCCTGAGCACATGGAAAGTAAGACCAGGACAAATAGATAATAAAGGCAAAATGCAACAGTTACACATTTCTGATTAGGAGCAGAACTGATTTATAATAACTTTCCGGTCTTCTTACCCATTCACTTCCTGCTTAGGAGGGATGGGCACTGATGAGGATGTGAAGGAAAGGAAACCCTTGTGCACTGTTGGTGGGACTGAAAATTTGGGCAGCCACTGTGGAAAACAGTATGAGATTCCTCAAAAAATTTAGAAAAGAATCGCTGTCAGATCCAGTAATCTTGCTTCTGAACATGTATGTTCAGGGAGTTGAAATCAGGATCTCAAAGAAATACCCACACTCTCATGTTTATTACAGCATTATTCACAATAGCCAAAACATGGAAACAGCTTAGAGTCCATTATCAGATGAATGGACAAGAAAATATATATTCATATAATGGAATATTAGCTAGCCTTAGAAAAGAAGAAAATCCTGCCATTTACAACAACATCAATGAAAGTGGAGGCCATTATACTAACTCAAATAAGCCAGACAGAGAAATATAGTATGATCTATATTTCAGAAAGAAAAATATAGTATGGTCTAATTTATAAATGGAATATAAAAGAGTCAAACTCATAGAACTAGAAAATAGAATGGTGGTTTCCAGGATGTGGGGGTTTGGGAGAGATCACACTAAGTTATGCAAGATGAGTAAGATATGCATGATGAATAACTCCTAGAGATCTACTCTACAGCAGTCTTTTTTTAAAAAGAGGCAGAATGTTTTTATTTTATTTTTAAATTTTATTTTTCAATTACTTTTTTTAATTGTTGAAATACATTGGTGTCCATTTACCCACCACCACTTTCTCCTGCCCCTCTCACCCCCACCTCGCTCCCTCAATCCCTCCCCACCTTGGCTCTGACCATGAGTCTTCCGTACTTGTTCCTTGAAATGACCCTTCCCCTGCCTTTCCCCACTATGCTCCTCTCTCTTTCCCTCTTGTTTCTGTTGGTTTCTTTTTTCTTTCAATGTTGCTGGTTATATTTTCAGTGCTTGTTTATTTTGTTCATTAGGTTCCACTTAATAGGTAATATCATATGGTATTTGCCTTTCACCCCCTGGCTTATTTCACTTAGCATAATGCTCTCCAGTTCCATCCATACTGTAGCGAAGGGCAGTAGCTCACTCTTTCTTTCTGCTGTGTAGTATTCCATTGTGTAAATGCACCATAGTTTTCTGATCTACTCATTTATTATTGGGCACGTAGGATGCTTCCAACACTTGGATACTGTAAATTGTGCTGCTATGAACATTGGGGTGCATAGGTTCTTTTGAATTGGTGTTTTGGGATCCTTAGGGTATAATCCCAGCAGTGGAATTGCTGGGTCAAAAGGCAGTTCCATCTTTACTTTTTGAGGAGATTCCAAACTGTTTTCCACAGTGGTTTCACCAGTCTGCATTCCCACCAACAGTGTACTAGGGTTCCCTTTTCTCCACAACCTTGCCAGCACCCATTGTTTGCTGATTTGTTTATGATGGCCATTCTGACTGGTGTTAAGTGGTATCTCATTGTAGTTTTTATTTGCATTTCTCTAATGACTCATGATAAAGAGCATCCTTTCATATGTATGTGGGCCCTATGTATATCCTCCTTGGAGAAGAGTCTGTTTACATCCTTTGTCCATTATTTAATTGGATTGGTTGTCTTGCTGGAGTGGATTCATGTGAGTTCTTTGTATATTTTTGAGATCAACCCCTGTGTGAGGTATCATTGGCAAATATATCTTCCCATACAGTTGGTTCCCTATTCATTTTGCTGATGATTTCTTTAGACGTGCAGAAGCTTCTTATTTTGATGAAGTTCAATTTGTTTATTTTTTTTCCTTTATGTCCCTTGCTCTAGGGGACATATCAGTAAAAATATTGCTGCATGGGATATCTGAGAGTTTCCTGCCTATATTATCCTCTAGGACTTTTATGGTGTCACTACTTATATTTGTCTTTTATCTATCTTGAGGGTTTTTTTGTGTGTTTATGGTATTAGGTGGTGGTTAAATTTCAATTTTTTGCAAGTAGCTGTCCAGATATCCCAACACCAGTTGTTGAACATGCTATTTTTACTCCATTTTATGCTTCTGCATGCTTTGTCAAATATTAATTGACCTTAGAGACATGGGTTTATTTCTGGGCTCTCTATTCTGTTCCATTGATCTATGTGTCTATTCTTAAGCCAGTACCAGACTTCTTTGATTACATTGGCTTAGTAATATAGTTTGATATCAGGTACTGTTATCCCTCCTACTATGTTCTTCCTTCTCAAAATTGATGCGGCTATTTGGGATCATTTGTGGTTCCATATAAATTTTTGAAATGCCTGTTCTATGTCTGTGAAATACATCATTGGTATTTTAATAGGGACTGCATTGAATCTTTAAATTGTTTTGGGTAGTATGGACATTTTTATTATGTTAATTCTTCTTATCCATGAACACTGTATATGCTTCCATTTATTTGTGACCTCCTTAATTTCTTTCTTCAGTGTTGCATAGTTTTCTGTATACAGGTCTTTTACCTCCTTGGTTAAATTTATTTCTAGGTACTTCATTTTTCCTGTTGCTACAGCAAATGGGATTTTTTCCTGATTTCTGCTTCTAGTATTTCATTGTTGGTATGCAAAAATGGCTTTGATTTCTGGATATTGCTTTTGTATCCTTCGTTTTGCCAAAATCACTTATTAGTTTGAATTTTTTGGTGGAGTCTATCAGTTTTACTATGTACACTATGATGTCATCTGCAAACAATGATAGTTTTACTTTCTCCTTTCCAACTTGGGTGCCTTTTATTTCTTTTTCTTGTCTGATCACTGTAGCTAGGACTTCCAATACTATGTTTAATAGAAGTGATGAAGGCAGACAATCTTGTCTTATTCCTGATCTTAGTGGGAAAACTTTTAGTTTTTGCCTGTTGGGTATGATATTGTCTGTAGGTTTTTCATATATGGCCTTTATTATGTTGAGGTATGCCCCCTGTATTCCCACTTTCTGAGTGTTTTTATCATAAATGGGTGCTGTACATCATTAAATGCTTTTTCCCCATGTATTGATACGATCATGTGGTTTTTGTCTTTCCTTTTGTTTATATGATGTTATGTTTACTGATTTGTATCAATTACATTTTTTATTCAATAATATTTTGTATTAGTCATGTGTACAACATAGTGGTTAGACAATCATATACTTTACAAAGTGTTCCCCCAATATTTTCAATACCCACCTGGCATCATACATAGTTAGTACAATAATATTGACTATATTCCCCATGCTATACTTTACATTCCCATGACTATGTTGTAACTACTGA